CCACTTTTTCCGGCTTAGGACGGATTCATCGAGTTTACAACTCTTTGAGTGGAGGACATATGCGACGATCTGACAGTCTAGCCTCAAAGTACTCCTTATTGGTATTCCAACATGGCCAAATTACCAATCCCTTCTAACCTAATTCTGTTTGAAAAAAGGAAAGTCTAGCCACACTTTGTTTTTCACTCTATAAACTCACAAATAGAAATGTATTTAAAGTAAGTTGAATAAACTAGCTAATTCCTTTTTATGCTAATCTGATTAAATGTATGTTTGAACATGAGCATTTGTCTGTTTGTATTATAGTCTATGTATGTATACAAGTAAGTGTTCAATGTAATGAGACGTCCTTATATCCGTCAGACAAGCACATCTTGTTTCTATTCGATTTCCTCAAATTCAACAAATTTCCAAATCGGCTAAAATGGTTTCTGATGCCCACTGGCAGTCCGGTATGGGAAATACACTTGAAGCATATCAAGAGAAGCTGGATTGTTGCGAGTACACTTGTCATTTCTTGTAAGGGATTTGTCAATTTGCCTCACCGGAAACGGATTCCAATAAATCCGAGATGATGCACCGAGCATATATTAGCACAAATCTAGCCAAAATTGTAAAATCCCCTTTTGGTTCCCGGTGAGGCCAATTTGCGAATATCTTCTCTTCACCACTAAGCACGAAATTAGAAAAACCTGGGTTAGTGTAGATACGAAGACCAAGATGTTGTGGCTTCTATTTTGGTCGCGGTCTCCTTTCGATGTATGCTAGTCATTTGACCTTGTTTTCGCAACTTGGTGATATCGGCAGGAAGAATTGGATGAACGCACCTTGTCCAGAGTACCAAGTTCTGGAGATTATCATGCATACTGTCGACTCCGGACAAGGTGCGTTCGTCTATGTCATCCTGCCAATATGGCCAAGTTGCGAAAACAAGGTCAAATCACCACTGAGTTATGGTGATTTGACTTTCATTTTTAAAGGAAATGTTGGTTGGAAGAAATTCGCTAATTGGTCTCAGCAGAAACCGAAGAATGATTGCTGTGGATTGAAGATGTCTTTGGCTCACCGGTTTCTGGCAGTTGCAGAATGGTGAACCGATAACTTTTTCGCGCAATCAAACAGTTTTCACTCCTCCAAAGCGATCCTCTTACGGTTCCTGGTGGGACTAATTAGCGAATTCCCTCCAACCAGTTGAACGGCACGCCAATACAAAATGCTTGTCAGGTCGTCAAAGGATAAGTGCTGCGCACTCTTGCCTCGAACGAATAAAGCAAGTCGTTCATCTACCGATTTGCCATCCTTTATATTGCCCAGTTTTGAGGGAAAGTCGAGACCACAATCGGTCTCCCAATCTCTCAAATGGTGCATCCTACTCACTTGACTTCCCTTATCTGAGTTAACCTTTTTACGTCTTTTTAATTGGGTTCCTTGCAAATTTTTCTCTTTTTTTATAGCAGGTGGACCGAGGTCAGGCCGCAGCTTCACTCTGGAGGTTGACCTCCGCCTTCTGGCCGACTCGGCCAGCGGCCACAAGTCTATTCCTACCCGAAGTCTTGGTGTCTATCTTTGGTGTCATCTCGTCTGTAGACGGTGTCTCTCAGGCTCGCCACTCACCTGATGGAATCCGAGATAGTATTCCACGGTTCTGGAGGCGGAAAAGACCTCTCCGTCACAGGAGACAATAAAGATGAAGCCGTTCAGCGCCTGAATAGGAGAGGGGCACAAAGGCAATAAGAAATGCGACATGCATGAGAACTGATGAATAGAGATGAGTCTGTGATGGCAAACAGGCGTCAACAACACTCGACTGGAGGTCTTCTCACCCCTTTACAGTTTGTACAACTAAAAGTGCTCCTCAGACTGGTCTCTTATTGTGAATAAAGACTCGGCTTCTGAGACTCTCTTGGTTAAGGGATGTTGTCTTACCTTCCATTTCGTCGGAAAAGACAAGTGGAAGGGAACAAGGAGGAGTATACATGACGTCTATTAATCTTACTTCGTTTAGGGTGATAAGGGGACTGGTAGTTGAATTTTCCCAAAATAAAATAAGTAGACCTTACGTATCCATTGAATTTCGCATAGCCTTGCTTACCTTTAAGGTATGCTTATCCAGGCCTTATCAACACCCTCAGCGGGACTCGAACCATGGCATTGCAGTGTATAATCTCGACACGTCAACCACTACGCCACATTGCCACAAGTACCCTTTGGTTAAAGGGCAAATGTGTGTTTCAAGGAAGGCCAGGCATTTTCCCATGTCACATTCTGTAATAGCAAGGTTATGGGGAATTCAATGGAAACGCCATGTCCACTCATATCATTGTGGGAAAAGTCAACTGCCAATCCCTTTATCATCCGAAATGCAATAGGATGAATACATCTCATAAATATAATCTACTGGTAGTCTCGAAAGTCTATTTATAATCTAAAAAGCAGATTGCCTTTGAACTGTGACTGTAGATTTATGCGAATCCGACGAATCCATGCTGACCTCTCTTCTGTCATGTGACAAGCGCCATCAAAACGAGAGATAAACGCTCTACCAAAATTCACCAATTCGGCTTGCTCTGACGATGTCGGTCATATGACCGACGAAAGCTCTGCGCGGATTTGTCGGAGTTGCCAAGTCTACAATCGCAGCTCCAAGGCAATCCTTCTGCGGCAGGCGATGAGGCCAAGGCCTTAATCCCTTCCAGTCTCCTCTTCAACTGGAACAAAAAGTTACATGCCAAGAAAAGTTGGGTTTCGAAGAATCTCTTGTTTTATAATTGTTGTGCTTACTTCCATTTCGAATGAAAGTGTTTGGTGAAGAGATTCTAAGGTCAATTCCACCAGAAGACGACGGCGGATTCCTCTTGACCAGCTGACCAGCTTTTCTTGAAAATTAATGCTGACGCTGTTTCCGAGGTAATCTCCTTTGATACCTTGCTCTGATGATGTTCGTCATATGATGGACGAAAACTTAGCACCTTTTCACCGGAATCGAAGGAAATTACCTCGAAAACAGCGTCAGCATGAATGTTCCAATAAAGCCAATCGACAGCTGGTCAAGGGGAATCCGCCATTGTCTTCTGGTGGAATCGAACTTCGAATCTCTTCACCAAACCCTTTCACTTGAAATGGAAGTAAGCACAACAAAAAGCTATGCCAACATCAAGCCTCATGTAATTCAAAACAGGGTTCATTATCCATACTTCATAATCTTAAGCTCTTAATATGGCCTCCAATTTGCCTTCTGAATAAATGGTCAATCCTTGTGCAGACTCGCCTGCCAGATAGACTGACCTGGAGTCCAGCGTCTCCTTCCATGTGGACAAAGTCGAAGGGGCAATGGTAGAGATGCGAGACCAGCCGGTTCTCGAGGAGGAGTCTGTCGTGAGAGAGCGCTTGGATTGGCCAATGCAAAGTCGGTTGCGTCATGTCCGGCGGAGGTGGACAGAGAGGAGAAAGGAAAAGAGGGAAAAGAGGAGAAAATTAACGAGACTTGACTCATAAAGTGAGTGAATACTAGAAATATGGGGTTTTCAAGTGGTTTTTTGGTCAAAAATGTAGATACTTAACCGTCCGGAATCCCGCCTAAAGAAGAGATTTGAAAGACGTCTAATGAGCCTTAGAGTCGAGCTCGTGCTGAGATCGGAGCTCAGTCGCCCAACCTCTGAACTGATGCTCCATTGTCTTATGGTCCACTGGAGGGGCTGAGAAGACTTGAGCTTACGGGAACCAACCCGCGGTCCAGTATGATGAGAAGGACCATTGACGAGATAAACTTAACTGGGCAAACATGTATTGCTAGTGGTTAGCGTTGCTTGATGATGGGGATACAGTTATTTGTGGAATAGAAACAGGAGGCCACCGCACACCGTTAATCTTCATCATCATTATCATTATCATCAGTGGCTTTAAGAGTAATATTTATTGAATTGGTTTGACCTCTATTTTGCAACTTGGTGGTATTGCCAAGGAGACTTAGATGAACACACCATTTTCAGAGTCCATAGCATCCATGAGAATTCCAAGCGTTTGATCGTGAACTTGGTACATTCCCAGACTTTGCAACACCATCGTAGCAGGCATCGTTAGTGAACCGTGCCATACTTATCATCAAACTAGTACCAGTCAAAGGCTGATACCATACTAAAGGCTACACCATCTTGGACTTCATTTATTCGAGTATTACTTATTGTGCTGTCTTTGTGTGCTCGTAAGTGGGTATTTCGTAAGTATAAAAAGAAAATGGACTTCGAAAAATCCTACCAAAATGTCATGTGATATCGGTTAAAATGTGGAAGTTGAAAGAGGGTTCTAGATCGTTTGAATAAGACAGTAGAGAGCATTCATAAATGGGCCTCGCCGGAAACTGAAGGAGGATTGCCTTGACGCCGTGAGTGTATATTTGTGCAAATATGTACTTTTTGTACACTTCCGCGTCCCCCATAAATTCGAAACGGCACACTTATTCGCACAAACCTATCATCACGACTCCAAAGCGATCCTTTTTGGGCGTTCAGTGAGACCAATTTATGATTGCCTCCTACTCGCCTCTTCAAAAAGTAATCAAATATAGGCTGGGATTCTTTGAAGACCAGTCTATCTTCATATCTACGAAGGAGGACGGATTGCCTAGGAGCTGGTACGTGTGGGGTTGTGCAATTACGTCTTCGGAACATCGTCCTGCGCTCCGATTCATCCACGCTGAGCTTTCAATTGTATTGCCTTGGAAGACATCTCCAGCACGTAAACCATTCCGAATAAGGTGTAACCGAGCCGTAAGATCATTTTCTCTTATTGCTTTAGGTTGTGACGAATTCTTTTGCAGTGATACAGAAGTGACTACAGCATAAATTGATCGAGTCGGCAGGACGGGGCGCCGATGGCGTCTTCGCACCTAACAGAACATTTCACCTGTTTCGGTTTATGGTGCCATCTATTTAGGGATGATCCCTTGTATCGGCCTCTTCAAATGAATTCTTAAACCATTGGCAACTGCTCGGTTGCAGCTTTTTCTAGAGCGCAATAGAAATGATCAACGCAGAATTTAGTAAATTGTTGAAATTCGAGAAAGGGATTATCTGATGTACTGGCCGAATTCAGACCATCTTTCAAGTCATCATTCTTCAGTGAACTTGCATATATCGAGTACTGCAATGCTGCCGAGATTAAGATTTGGTAACTAGGCGTATTTGGAAAACGAACTGAAAGATAATGGCATGATCATGACAAGCAATAGCAGGAAGATAGATAATAAGGGCGATAATGATGATGATAAGCATGAAGGAGAATCATTTGTGAAGCAGGCCAAATGGGCAAATATCCTCGAGGTCTCATGATCACAGGATTTGAGCCAGTCGCACTGGATCGATCGTTAGACACGGACTCGAACTTGCGATCCGCGGACGACAGAAACCTAAAGAATTGCAAATGCTCTGAGGTGAGAGAAGATAGATTCTGCCTCTTCACACGAAGGAGATTTTGAGACCAATAGCAAGTTAAGGAGGCATCAGCACTGCCTAGGAAGTTCTCCAATATTCGGATAAGTGTACCTTATGAAAGCATTGGGTTTCACTTGGCTTCGTCTCCCAAAATTTTTTTTATTTCGGCCGGATTGAACGGAGGTTTCAAGCTCACTTCACTGTCCCTCACTGTCCCAATGGGATTCAATTGGGATCGTGATGATCATAGCGATGCCACCGTTCCGCTATTCAACAAAGTTAGTCAAAGGTTGGCAGAGCATCGAGACTACCAGGTGATAATATACTTGAGATGCATTCACCCCATTTACTTCTAATGTGGTGAAGGGCTGGTAGGTGAAGTTTCCTATGCTTCCATTGAATTTTCCTCAATCTTGTTTTCCGAATGGTATTTTTGTACAGAGGGGATTGCAATTTCGACCTCACCCGGATCTCATCAGCGTCCCCCTGCAGGACTCGAACCTGTTACGTGGTAGTGCAGCGAATAGTCTTGATATGTTAACCACTAAGCAACATTTCCACGGGTCCTCTTGGGCTACGGGGCGTAAGTGCATTTCAAGGAATCCTATGCCTTTCACATATCACATTTGTGAGGTGAGATTGTCGCCAAAGCAAAGTTGTATTTGGTAGAGCAATCGTCTACATAACTTATTTTTCGTTTCCAAAGTCGGCTTTCGAGAGTATCAGTAGATCAGATATAATTGAAATATGGTGAATACAGCTTTTATATCTGATCCATCGGCAGTCTGGAAAAACCTACTTATTAAATGAGAAATAAGTAGTGTAGTCGATTGCTTTAGCAATTACAACTTTGCTTCGTCGACAATCCTACAACAGAAATGGGATATGGAAAAAGCCTAGGCTTCCTTGAAGTTCACATCTGTCCTGAGACCCAAGAGCACTCGTGGCAGTGCTGCGTAGTGGTTAACGTGTCGAGACTACACGCTGCACCCCCACACTCCAGGTTAGAGTCCCGCTGGGGGTGCTTCTGAGATGATAATGCTGGGTCGAAACTGCAGTCCACTTCCGCCCGGATAAGAATATCTTTCGGGAAGCAAGGCTGTATGAAATTCGATGGAAACATGAGACCTATTCAAGTCATTTTGGGAAAATTCATCCATCAGTCCTACACCCCCTCAAAAAACGAAATGGGGTGAATACTCCTCATTTATGCATCATGTAGTTGCTATCACAAGCGATTTGGTTGCCCATGTTTAAGACATGTCAAGCACTTGTTTATCGCATTGAAAACAGGATCTGCGTCCGCAGTTGGGACGGAAGAGTCCCTGAGCTGTATCATTTCTGCGAGTCCGCAAGCAAACATAGTCGAATTCAGCTCCTGTTCGGCCCAAAGCCTCCTTGGTCCAAAATACTCGGAACAAGTCCACATTTTTCTCCTGTTTCTCCCTTCCTCCCCTCTCTCCATCTCTCCTTTGCCCGCTCATCTCTGCACTTCCAGCTCTCTCTCTCTCGCGCGCGCGAGCGCCCTATCGCGTGCTCGCTTCTGCTCCCTTCACTTGGTCACTTGGACACTTGGACACTTGGCCGGCTAATGGCAGTAACAATCAAGTTTGCGTGATCTCTTCTATTTGACCAGAATTCGCAAGCCTGGAGATTGGCATGAGAGTGTGTTGTGTATGTGGAGATGTATGCTTGTGTATGGGGGTAGGGGAGAGCGATACGAGCCTAATGCTTTGCTTGTGTTTTTTCGATCCTCGCCTGTGCCTAACCCTCAAATGCTCTTGTGCGCTCATACCTCCCAGCCTGCCTGTCTTGTGTGTGACCGGACGGACGAGTGAATTTTGAATCCAATTGGGCGAGTGTGTGTTAGGACATCCAAATTCGCAGACTGGGAATTGCAAAGAAATGCGAGCAGCTCATCTGCCTCAGCCGGCGATAGGCAGGTCTTAGTCTCTTGTCTTAGCCTGCATCTGAAGACGCCATGGGCCAATAGGTTGCCAGGGTAACCGTAGCTTAACGCCAGCGACTACTTCGTAGGCTCCTTGACGGAGGGAAAGCTGAGGACGCTCCATAGTTGGACGAAGTGAAGGCTCTTCCTCCAGACAGATGAAATTTCAATCCGTGGTTGAAGGCTCGAGTCCCTTCAGTTGACTTGTCCGGAAACGGTCGCATTCCCTGGTCTGAGCAACGCCTCTAGACGGCTGTAGAATGAGTCTCTAACCTGGCTTGTTGGTTGGGCGTGTCACGACATCCCGGCGACAGATCGATCCCTGCCAGTCACAGAGTCCGTCTCCGAGGCACCGGAGCCACTACACCAGTTGGACAAAGACTCACCCTCTTGGCGGGCTTGTGCGTGTAGGACACTCTACCTCGACATTTGTCCGACTCACTTCCACTTCCATTTCGACCACTCTACTCTACTCCATTCCGCCAGAATGGGACAATCACAAAAGACCAAAGTAAGCCTCCACAAGGAACAGGCAAATGCGTGCATCAACTGAGCACAAGTGAGCAAATAAACAAACACTATGTCATGCCCACACGCACACACTTGTGCACATCGACTTTCGGCCAAGCAAGCAGACGGAAATGTATGCCGGCATACACGAGATAATTTTTTCCGACTTCTACGGGATCGACGATACAGTTCCTCATGATACTGCCAGTCTGCCAAAACACATACAAACCAATGCATACACGCACGCACACACACACACACACACAAACACACACGAACTCACTAGAGCCCAGAGGAGTGGAGAAGAGGCAGAACGAAAAGCAGATGGAACATTGACAGAGGTAGAGACCGAGGTGGAGACAAACAAGTGGACAATAGCCAGTAGGAGAGAGCCTGATGGGTGTACAGACCGACACTGAGAAGCAGATAGGCACTTGCTGACAGACACAGACAGATCAAGTGATGGCCAAAGGGGAGTTGAGCTGAAGTTGAATTAAATACCCCATGGTAGATTAATTATTCAAGTAAAATTAAGGCGGGTTTTGAACAATGGGCAGTGGGCAAAGGTAGGACTAAAGTCAGGACTGGCAAGCAAAAGTCCATATGCCAGGTGTGTCTATGTATATATGTATGTGTTTTGAGCAGGTGAGGTGGTGGCAGCACATAAGTTTGAACAAAGAGGAAACAAGCATAAGACTGAAGGGAACAATCCAAGACATATTCAACGAGAACCAAGACATCCGTTCGTCTGCAATGACCATTAAAGAACAGGATATTTGCAACTCTGCTAAAGTCGATTTTCATGTTTCCTGCCCGGCAACGCAGGGATGTATTCGGACGTGAGTTACACTTAGCCTTGTGGGTAGGAAAGGGTTTGTCTATAAGTGGAAGCAAGGTTGACGCGGAATTCTTTGTTTGTATGTGGCGAATTTGCGTTTCGAAGATTTTCTTGGCAGTTAGTCAACTTCGAAGACCAGTGCGCATGGGAATTCTTCGTTCAATTCAACAGTCACAACTACAAAGCGCTATTAATACCGATTCGCGGTTTTTCCACAAAATGAAACGGCCGAGGAAACATTTTGGGGTTGCATTCGACATCGGCGCGAGGATGCTTTCGTCAGTCGGCTTTTCGGGTTGCGTACGTGGATGGTGGTTATACCCGCTCGGTTTTGAGCAGTGCCTTTTCGAGGGTTCAACAATAGATCGAGCCTGAAGAATACTGTCTAAATTGAAGACAATATGATTTCGTGATGAGCAGGCTTTCGGGACTATTAGCAGACCTGGAATAAAAACTGTAATCAGGCTAGGTCGCTTCACGTGGATTTCACTAAGCCCTGTCTCATCAGCTTCCCTAAAAGGAATGGAAACCGAGTGTTGCAGATATTTTATGTTTGACATGCTGTCCTCACTCCGTATGGCCACAGCTGACAGTGCGTCGCAGGACAAGACAGACCTATACTGTGTCACATTTTTATTATGGGATTGTCGAATAAGCCATTAACGTCGGCAACACTACTTATAGTATTAATAAGTAGGTTTTCGAGATTATCGTTATATCTAGAATAAAACATGTAGACAGGCTCAATCGCTTTATGTGATGAAGAGCTGATAAAGAATTTTGCCTTTCTTATACGAGTAGGCCTTATCTCCCATGGTCTTACTCTGCAGAAGTATGCTCATCCCGCATTTTAACATTCATTCTCAGTTCATCGTCACCTTAAGCGACCAAGCCTGATTACAGGCATTTAATCGCGATTTAATGAAAGCCTCGAAAGCCCAGTGATTGCGAATAAAAATAGTCACATCGACTGTAATGGCAAATACATGCTATTTAATTGACGAGCCAACAATGAAATAAGGACACGAGAGAGTTATACATTGCCTTTAAAGTTTTGTCTGCTCTGCGACCGTCCGGTCCGGTGACAATAATACTGCCAACTGAGGCATTTCAGAGCTAGGAAAAGGGTCAGCCTGCCTCGAAAGAAAAATATTTTATTATCACATGTGGCCTAAGGGAAATGCCAACTTATTATGAATGTGATTAATTTATTCGATTACACTCGCAAAATGCATATTTTATGTTCAAAATAAGTCCGTGCTCTTGGCCTCCATAATTCGTGAATATGAACAGAAATTACCCTATTACTCAATTCTATTAAGTAATAAGAATGATACATTTTCATAGTGGTATTGTCGAGGAGGCCATTGCAGTCGACATCGCTACTTATAACCTCAATAAGTAGGCTTTACGGTCACACCTCTACTTTGACACACTGAAATGTGTAGCAATGTAGTCTAATGGCAATCTGACGAAATTTTGCGCACGCCACACGATTTCGACTCCTGTTGGGGGCACCGTCAAAGCACGTCCAATCAGACCATCGTGAGGCCACACCATTTCATTGTAGCAAAATACAGCTATCATTTTTCAATAAGACTTAAATTTACCTCAGCTGCTTGAAGTAATTTGAGTATTGATAGGACTGACGATATAATTGAAGCTCCTTGGCCTTGCCTGATAGTATCGGAGACTACTTATACCGCAAATGAGTAACCTAATCGACCATAATTGGAAATATGAGTGAACCATAAATTGCCTTTAATTTCATATTAGCTCTGTGAAACCACCGAGAACCCGTGGCTATGTTATGGAATGGTAGCATCGCCATGATACTCACGGATCGGGATCAAATCCGATGTTGATGAGACCTGGGTGAGTTTGAACCTGTAGTCCAGCTAAAGTAAGACTTCCTTTGGGAGGTGAGACAAGGTTAAATGCAATGGCATCGAGAGGTCCACTTGCTTGATTGTGGCAAAATTCTACAATTAGTCCTTAAATTACCTTAAGCGGTCAAGAATTGGAAAACTTAAATTACATGTACCAAAAATCATTCATCAACCGGAAATGGCAAAAAGCAATCTCTCTTTTGTGGCTGTCATTTGCTCATCTGCTGAATAGCCTTAAGCCGCCACCCATTCTTTCGAGTCAGTCTGTGGATCACTTCAAGAGAGAAGGTCTGTGGGGTTTATGAGCTGTACCATCGGTTGCTTGTTCAATGAAATATAGCAACTACGATGCTTGCCATTTCAGCACTAACCGCACCACAAATAGCAAAGTAAGATACGGTAACGGCTATAGTCCTGATGAATCTCTTGAGATAAGATTATTGTGAGACTTTCATTTCGTATGAAAAGCATTATGAGTCGCCATTTAAGTCGGCAACACTACTTATAGTATTAATAAGTAGGTTTTCGAGATTATCTTAATATCTAGAATAAAACATGTAGACAGGCTATATCGCTTTATGTGATGAAGAGCCCTAATTTACCGTTTTTCTGTTACAGTTTGGCCTTACTAGGTCTCGGATACGCGACGCACCCTATCGTTTCGTCCGTCGTAGGAAGGACATTATCAGAGCTGGAGCCCACCCTTGCAAATGCTTCAAGCTATCACCAAGTCAAGAAGATTTCTTGACAGTTGTGCTGCCAACCAACAGATTGTTGCTTGTGCAATCTGATTTACACGCATACTGGCATACATCTTGCTAGCTCAATCAGAACATGGCATTTGGCTCTTTTGTAGTTAGTCTGAGTTATGGCCGGTATTGCGTACTCTGAGTCTCAAATAGATTCAGTCCGATTATTCTATGTCTATTTCAATCTATTATTTTAATTTTTAACTATGAGTATATAGAGTGGATAGGATAAAGTCGGATTGATTTCTATACTATGTATGAACTGTGCTCACCCAATTGCATGTCAGTTGATTAAGGATTGGTAGTTGAATTTTACCATAAACATATGGGCATCCTTCACGTATTCAGTTTCATATAGTCATGCCTCATAGAAGGTATTTTCATCCGGGCTCGAGTGGACGGTAGTTCGGACCTCGCCCAGGTCTTAGCAGTACACTCAGCGGGAATATGAACGTGGTAGTAAAGTCGGGTAGTCGGGTGACCACAATTCTTATTGGTAGTCTCTAAAGACTATATAAAAACGAAAATTCTTGACTTTGTGTTTACTTGAAGCTTTGTTGAGAATGCCTTCCAGCATGATGGACGAAACGAGAGAACGTGTCTCGTGGACTGTGCCAGTATGAACGTCGTATTAAAGCCGAATAGCTACAGTACAACG